CGATTGCGGCTGCGGCGACTGAGCCGGTTTTTGCGTAATAACTTCGTATAGCATACATTATACGAAGTTATACGAGTCAGGTTATTCCGCTCGACGGAGAGAGAGAGAGAGAGGGTAGTCCGGCATTAACCCTTTAATTCTAGCAGCACCGAGCAAAAAGTGCGAGAGAGCTCTTAATTGAGAGATCTGTGCGCAAAAGAGGCAAACGACAAATCTTGAAAAAAAAAAAAATAAATAAATAAATACTCTCTAATTTTCTTCGAGGCTTTTTAACATTCAGGTTCGCGTCGTCTTTGTAACTAATCGTTAAATTACACCAAATTGGTCCATGGAAGAGAATGAATGCAGATGAAAAAAAAAATGTGGAGGTAACTCCGTGCGAAAGATGGGGGCAGTAATGTCAATTAAACGCTTACGAAATTATAAACGTAACACACTTGCGGCCATTTTTCGCAAAACTGAAGGAAAAATCTAATGCGAAAATAAGGGATTCCGCTTTCTTGAATAATTTTTACATTTTCAGCGCGCGGAAGCTTCTCGCGGGGATCCGAAAGACTCGCCGCGGCGTTAAATTAATTTTTCCGTCAACCGGCCAAGGAGGAATTTGTCCGTGACTTCCAATTATTTCCACTCCATTTTCCTTTCGATGTAATGCCGGCGCGGAGGGGGCGGGTGGGTTGAAGAGGGTGGAAGGGGGGGAGGAGGAGGGGGAGGGGGGGGGGAGGGGTAGATCATTACGCGCGTATTTATAGTCAAAGCTGTGCAGGGCAAAGCAGCGACGCGGCAATTAACATCGAGGCTGTCGATGGAATTTTCGACGGTGCTCGGGTTAATTATTCCGTGGCAATTTAGCCGGTAACGAGCCGGCGCGGCAATTGGACGCCCGGCGGAATTATTGTAGCGACGTGGGGCCCGCCCCGGGCCATTTACATCGTAGCAGCAAACGTAATGCCACTCGACCGCGTCCCTAGAATTTGCTCTGCGGTCTGACTGCTCGTGCGCCGCCGCTCGCCCGGAGCGGTGACCCTCATCATCGTCATCATCGTCAATCGCGATAATTATTGTGTCGGTAAATACCTAGTTTGAGCGCGTTTCATACGCGAGCGGGGCCGATCGCGCGCGCCCGATCCGAATACACTTACGGCGACGCGCGGCATGATTAAATGAAACGCACCCGATACACATGTGTACACATGCGTCATATGGTTTTCAGTGAGCCAACGTTCTCGGCGCGGTAATGATGATGCGCGGTCGCCAACATCAAAGACGGATTAGAAGATCGATCGGCATGCGTTGCCGTTGCATTTGCGGTCGTTATGCGAGCTTATTTAGATCAGATGATTTTCGATGTCCACAACCGATCTGATGGTTCGCAATCGTGGGGTTCAATTTTTTTTTTATATTAAAATTCTTGATAAGCACGACATCCATTTTTCTACGGGGAAAATTTGATGGAAAGATATCATTCGTCACGACACTGTTTAATATTTGATGGTGAATGCTGGTAATAAGATCTCGAGTGAAATTCACTTTACTTCAAGCGAATAATTAGTTCATCTTTAATTATTAGACCGCTGCGCTTCGCGTTTAATAAATTATAGCCAAGGAAGACAGTCGATTGCGCGAAACAGTTGAAAAATTTTGAAGCGGAGAAGGAAAACGCACGGGTGCTAACTGATTTTTGCGATCAGCTCGTTTGAATATATTATTATTTCGTATGTGCGACGAATGATTTTTCGAGGGGAAGACTCGATTAAACGAGCGAGCGTCGGGCACGACGTTAATTCGATTAACTTTGCGGCGGCACTTTGTTTGCCGTTGGGTGTCGTGTTGCGGGAAAATATTTCGCTGACCGTTTACAGGGGATACGTCGGTCACGCATCACGCGGGGGTGCGGAGCTACTCTCCTTACAACGCAAACATACTCCGTTATTAAACCGCGTAGACGTGTACTTTTATTCACTCACCGGCGAGTGAATAAGAGTCACTCCGTAATAAATTGCTTCTCGGGACGAGAGTTGACGGTTTTCTTTATGGACACTCCGATGACGAGGTAACTTAAAAAACACAGAATTCAGATGTGTTACTTAAATTACTTGCGTCATAAAAAAAATCTAAAAATTGGTACGAGAGTCCTTCCGAATGCACGAAGTCGACCGTCGCGTCCGTCAAATTCATCTTGAGATACTCGACGACGGGGGCTCGAAGCGTGACCGTGCGCGGCCACGTGCTGGTCGAAACGCACGTGCGATCGCTCGCGCAGCGACGCGACCATTATCGTCGACCGATCGCAAACACTCGACGATAAGCGGCGAAACCGCCTTCGCTGGAAATATGCCGTTCGTCGCCTCGCAGCGAATCCTTCCCCTATATATTGTTGACGAAGACGTAATCGCGCGCGCGCGCATGCAAACACAATCACGTCGCACTATGCACGCAATCGGCCGCCGCACGCGATATCAATGCTTTCTCGGCTTTCTCGAGATCGTATAAATAGGCGTAAAATTCAAGGGTTCTTAAATTCGCACGATTCCGCCAGTTCTTCGCGATCTATCATTGGCTATCGATAAACGTCGGCGCTTACCGTTTCTCGCGGAGGACTCCAGCACTGCGGCGATGTACTTCGTCCGCTGTGGCTGCTCATGGCGGAATTCGAGGCCGAATGAAGATTCTGAAGGCTCGCGTTCAGCGGCGTCACCGGATCGTCCTCCGTCGTCTCGATATCGACCTCGTCGTCGGAATTCTCCTCTTTCTGGCCGGCGTCCGCCGGTCGCTCCGGGATGACCGCCGGCTCGATAATGGGCGGCCCGCGGATCACCGGACGGAACGCAGATTGATGCAACGATGGATTCACGGTCGGAATCAGGGGTTCTGTGGGGCTGGCGCCGCTCATCGGCGGCGGTAGCGGTCCTGGCAACCGTGAGAATTTCGATTTTCGTCTTATGGAGGTCAAGTCATCATCGGTCATCAAGATCATCCGCGGTCGGTTGTATAAAAGTGGCGCGATTGATCGATAGAACGGTTTTTACCATTGAACTTTCGTAATGATATTTTCGCAATTATAATTTTATGACTTTGAACTCCAAATAATTTAAACATGGTTAACGATCTTGCGCCTGATGGCCATTAATTGCCGATAATTAGCCGAGTAATTACGCTCGATTAATATTAATCATTGTAGATGATGTAATGATGATTCACATGTTTGAACTAATTAATAGATTAATAATTTAAGCCAGCGGAAAGCGGTAAACTCTTTATTAACGACAATTTCTTTTTTCCAACACGAAAATTTAATACCTGTGTGTATATTTCTTCGCTTCTCTCCGATTATTTAAGATTATCTTATATACTTAATTGTTGGCATTTTTTTATTGATCTCGACTTACCAGGAAACAGAACGGGACTCCGCTTGGCCAGCCAGGGCAGAGCGTAGGGTGGAAAGGCGAACGGGCCGGGTGTCTTAGCGGCGGCGACCGCCGCCGCCTGCTGATGCTGATGCCACACATAATCCATGACGAGGCTGCGTGACAACGGCAGGGGTAGTTCCGGAAATGGCGGGACTCGGGGATGCGCCGGCGTCGGCACCAGCGTGGGAATCTGTGCGGTGCTGGTCGGCGAGGATCTTGGCTGCTTCGCCGGGCTCGGCGATTCCCGGGAGCCGTTTGAGTTGCCCAACAGGCGTTTCCTGGTGCCGCCGTTGAACATTGCCTTCACGTCCTCCCAGGCGTGCACCACCTCGTCCGGTGGATTGCCCGACAGTTTCATGTGCCGGCGCCACGAGTTGAAATTGGCCGCATCCGGCTGCACGTACTTATCCGCCGGGTTGACGCGATGCGAGTGAAAGATGAACTTGTTCGGCGAGAAGAACAGGCCGCAATATGCGCACTTAATGCACTTGGCGCGCGAGCTATTGTAACGAGCGGGCAGGAAAGCGCCGCGGCAGCCCCAGGCGCACTCGTGATGGACGGAGAACGCGAAGTCTTCGGGCAATCTGAAATTGTGAGTTCCGGATTTTTATACGGAAATTATCGTCTTGCCAGTAGAAAAAGCCATCGATGATCAGACCGAAAAATATTTTTGTCAATTCTTAGATATTAAAAATATTTTTTTTAGCACATCTTTTTTGTACTTAAGATCCAAATTTTTGTCGCAAACAACGTACTGTGTTTAAAATTGATAATAAAATAAAAAAATGATCGAACACAGAAAATATGATCAACTTAAAGAAATGAAATTATCAATAATTCTTGATCGATTGTTCTCAAAAATTAAGGCGAGTACTATAAAAATACCGTAAAAATTTTGCAGAGATCATTCTGCACCAACCTGGGCGGCGCGTTGTCGCCGAGGAAGGACTTGCAGAGGCGCTCCGCTTCCCTGCGAGTGATCATGCCGCATCTGCGCGAGGACACCGGCATCGCGCCGGCACGACGGAGTATCTCCAGCTGCACCGGCGTGCATTGTACGCAGGTGATGCCCAACGCCACCCGACGATTGTGTATCTCGTTGTAGCTGAACTGCTTCAGCAGGGTGTTGCTGATCTGCGCCAGGCACAGCCTCTCCTGGCCCTCGATCACCAGCGACACGATATGGATCCCGTAGAGCGACACGGTGCCCACCTGCAACTCCTATTGATTTAGATGCACTACGATGTCCTCAAACTTAAACGCATCGCAAGTTCTACGTGAGTGGATTTTAAACAATTTTTCTTTTATTCTACTTGAATATTTTTTTTTCTCGACGACCCTCGGATGCATATTATTTTGAGAAACTTCAGTCCGTTAATTTTGAAATTTTCTCCGACTTCTGCGTTACCTGATTTTGCTTCGGATGCGATTGCGGCTGCGGCGACTGAGCCGGTTTTTGCGAAGGAGTCAGCGGCGGCATTGATAACACCGCCGGCCCATCCATACTAAAAACAATGCCAAATAAGATATTAGAATTGCAATATTTAATCGTAATTGTATATATTAATATTCAATTTAGATTAAATCGAAATACGAATTAATTTTGTTAGAAAAAAATCCATATATTAGAAACAATATTATAGCTAATCCTTAAAAGCGGCATGTTATTCACTTCTATAAAACACATCGGTATTTATCGATGCGATGAGAGATGTATTTTTGTTACTTTTTACTTGAATTGTGTTTCAAAGAAAGTAAAAATATAAATTATTACATAACGGGAAAAAATGGGGCGCTTTTGTGGTCTAGTTAATTATAAAAATTAATATCATACAAAACACACATTCTCAATTATCAAGAAATTTTCAGAAAGTCCGAAAACGCAATGTTTTATGTTATGACGTTAATATCAAAAAAAAAAATTTCCTTTCTAATGTGTGTGTGTGTGTGTGTGATATTTGACAATACACACACATACGCGTTTATCGTATTACCTCGTGCATTTAAAAATAATAGCTTCAAAAATAAAGCTTTCATTGTAATTTCTATTATTGCTGGAAAACAGTTTTAACAACGTTTCGAGAATTGTTTGTAATTTTGCGCTACACCTATATCGCGTTATCCGGAGTGCGGACCTATTTGACCTAATGGAAAATGCATCACCGATGCGACGCGGCAATAATTTGTCTCTCGGCGCGGTTTTTATCATCATCGGCGAGATTGATTATAATCTCTGATGTTTTACGGTCGCGTTCGCGCGCTCTCGCGCCCGATAATAAATTCCGCGCTTTCCGCTCGCACGCGAAAAAAAACATCCTCCTCCGCACCGCCGCCTCCTCCACCCACGTTGTAATTATATTTATTACACTTTATCGATCGGCTCTCTTTTTCTCTCTTTCGTCCGATGTGCCGCCGCGTCCGGTCGTGCATTCAGCTCAATTAAATCGCGGGCCCTCCTCGTTTTTACTCTGCCCCGACCGATTGCCGCGCAATCGCCGGCTAATTAAATCGCAAACGGTAACGCGACTTTTCATAACGTAAGTGATGATGCGCGCCGCTTTCCGACTTTCATTTATATTTCATTCTTTTTGACAAAAAATTAAAAAGGCAGAGCTGTCCTGTAATATCTTCACAAAAGCGAGCCTATATCAAAGTTGATAAAACTGAAAGCTGAAATATGTATAAAACGGAATATAATGACTGATTTCGCCAATCTACTTTTGCGCAAATGTTTTTCAGCAAGTGTTTTAGTTTTTATATAAATTCTAATTTAAAAAATGCAGCTGCGTTTCTAGTTATTTCGCCAATTAAGGACTCGTTTAAAGCAAATTTAATCCGCGTTAGTTATTCAGAAATTACGTAACATATTCAATATATTTTCTCGAGCGTCGCATTTCTATTATTATTATTTCGAGACTTGATTGGATCTTTGCTGGATTTCACATTGATGACGAGTTCAATCGGCGATAGCGCGTTTATCCGCGATTGGGAAAACACGCGTGCCGATTAAAAGGTGTGATTAAGTTGTTCTCGTCGTCGTCGTCGTCGCCGTCATCGTCGCCGTCGTTGTCGCCCGAAGGGCCCTTCTTAATTATCGGACGGTGATTAAGCGAATCCAAAGACCCGCTGAAATTAAATTCGCGCGATCAAAGCGCTGGTCGTCGTATTTTCTCTCACTTTCTCGAATCACGGAACAGAATTAAGGACGATTAAATCCCTTTTCTCTCGTTTAACCTTCTTTTCAGTTTCTTTCCGTAATCGGTAATTGGTTGACTCGTTAAGCGCGTCGAGGACAACAATGTCTCTCTTGATTTAACTTTTTGAAAAAACAAGTCCGAGTATCGAGACATATTTTTCTCATTATGAAGTTTTGTTTTTGAGAGAAGCAGCTTTCTTAAAATTAATTGAACGCGTATTCACTGGAACTGCATTGAAGATAGTTGGCGATTTCAGTATTTACTTTTGATGTAACATTGGCATGTTAAATTGTGTATTCGTAATATATTTCTGAAAAAATCTATGGCACTAAAGAAATTCTGATTTCTTTTATAATTTGTAATTACGTTCAGTCTTTTCAAATCAACGTAACGATATCCGCGTGAATACCGTATTTCGCGACCAGATACAGAGATTCGCGAGAAAATAACTTTAGAGCGGCGAACTGTCAATCGGCAAGTCTCCGTAATTTTTTTCCACGAGTCAAAGTAACAAGGAATTCGCGTGGAGAGAAATACGAGCGAGGAGGCTTCCTCAAAGAGGACGATTCGCCGGTTTCGCCGAAGAGACTTCCTTTCGCGAGGACCGCCGGATAAGGAGGGAAAAAAAAGGTGGAATGCTAAAGGCGAAAATGAGAGTCAGCCCCGCGAATCGAGTTCTTTATCCTCTTAGCGGGGACGGAGAAGGAGAGGTCGAAAAATTCCAAGTGTAATAAGTGACTGGAGGTTTCTCCGCCGTTAGTTTAACACGTTTCTGGAAGAGTTTTCGAGAAAATCTGACGGAAATTGAAAGAAAAATTTTACTCATTTCTTTAATGACAAGTTTGTAGCAAATTTATCTTCATGATCAAGAGAAACATTATTCTCAGTATACGTTAAGTGACAGAGAAGAATAGATAAAAATGCAAACACATACACCGTATATAAAAATCACGTATTCGACGTAAACATATTATCAATTAAATCTCTTCGAACGCTTGGAAGGAAGCGAAAAAATTTGCGAATAGTGCGCGCACTTTGAGTGGTACGCGCTGAATTATTACAAAAGCAATCTCCGCACACTGCGAGGAAATTTTTTCGTTACAAAATCGAGACGTGGCGGGAGCGAATGTATGTAGATACACGATAAATGAATCACCGGCGACAGTTCCGATGTTGCGTATCTCTGCCGAATGACGGAATTTCGGGGAAGGTCGTGGCTGAATCAAGTTGACGACGGATCATAATGCACGTAAGACAATACGCGGCGCATCGCGGAACCGAGGGGGGCGAGGGACGAAAGAGTCGTTGAAGACGGGCGTGGAGGGGGAGCGCATCGCGGAAACGGGCACGCCGTTTAGGAAGAGAGATCAAAACGGCCACGTCGGCGAGGTGAGGAGCGCGCGGGACAGAGGGGTCGGAGGGCCAACCCCCGGTGTTGATTTTAATTGAAAACGCCTCCGTGGAGAAGGTAGCGCGCGCACGTATACACGCGTGTCCCCGCACACGCACACGCGGCCGCGGGCGCGCGGACACCGATGCAGCCTCCCGACGTCCGGAGGCAGCGCGAGAGCGCCAGCGCCCCGGCAAACGTCCCCGGGGAGCCGTGGTACGAGGGGGTAATTCAATTTGACACCCCCACCCACGCTTAAACAAGGCAGCACCCATCGGAGCGTTCTCCTCTCCCCCTCCTCCTTTCCGCTCTTCTCTCTCTCTCTACCGCGCCTCTTCCTCTTTCGCCCCGTCTCCCTTTCTCCCGCGTTCTCCTCTTACTCCGCCGTCGCCACCGCCGCTGGCGCTTCCTCTCGCTCCGTGCCGTGCAAATTAAATTCTCATCCACCGTGAAACAATGTCGGTACCCGACCCGGAACAACCCCCATCGCGAGAGTTTCCCTCCCTCCACCGCTTCCCCCGCTCCGCACCCCGCCGCGCACCACCCCCGGCGCTCCCGACGAGCCTCGCGAATTCCGTTGGTCAGCGGTCGGACGGATCGGACTCGAATCGACCGCATTAATTACTCGCTACTTACAATTATAGTGCAGGCCCGATAGAACGGTCGCGAGATACTTGGCGTTCGCCAATTTAGCGAAAATTACTTAACTGTCATGCGCGCCGGAAAAAAGGAATTCCGAGGAGATCAATCGTCGAATTGTTTACGTTCGATTTTATCGCTCCGCGTGGCAGTAAAACTCTGATAAAGAATAATAATTATTCTTTTAATTTCTGCGAATAACTTTTTATACAAATAACAGATGTAAATAACAAGTGTATGCGTTTTCGGGATTTTCGTTGATTGCGAGCGGCAAGTGTTGAGTGTTGCATCTCAGCCGTATTTTAATTAAACAGAAATTTAGTAATTAAATTAATTGTCGAGATAATGCGCGTCCGATGTCATCGTGATCATTCAGACGCCACCGGTGCGGAAATGTCGTCGCGGAGAGCTAAGAAGTATGTCGAGGCCGGAGATTGCACGCGCGCGAAACAGACGGGGACGAGAAGTCGCGGCGGCGCTCTCAGGATTACCGTACCAGCGGGCTCGCGGATTATTTAAATGCAAACACAATGTTGTACCGGGGCGCATTGTTCCCCTCTCGGTTATTTTACAATTCAATCTGCGATCCCGGAGCTCCGCCGACGCGCGCGGCGCGGCCGGGGAGACGACGGGAGCGCTCGCTCGCTCGCTCGCTCGCTCGCTCGTTCGTTCATTGTAACATTGTTAAATCTCCGTCCTTCCATCATGACTATCTTCTGCCCCTCTCTAGACTCTCTCTCTCTCTCTTTCTTTCTCCGTCTCTCAACCCCCGAAAGTCTCTCTCGCGCATTCTCCTTTCGATCCGGCTTCTCCATCTCGCGTTGGAGAACACGATACCGGCCTTCTCTCTCTCTCTCTCTCTCTCGGTAATTGTACGCGGATCTTTCGGATTCTTCGCATAATTTATGAGCGGCTGCCTCTCCTTTCCGCCGCTGTTTGGTCGACGGAGATGTAAATCGAAACAGCGAGTGTGTAATTCTGCAGCACAACGAAGCGCGAACTGGCGATGTAATCAGTATTAATACATCGACGTCATCGCGCCGCGCTGGTGATCGCGCTTGTTGCTCGCAATTAATCCGATCTGGGTGTCGGGTTTAATTTTGACTCTCGATTAAACCGATCGCGCGCAATCATAGATATTCTAGGGCCACTCGCAATTCGACGAACTTGTCCAGCGCGTAAACGTCTGTCCACAATCGCGAAACAACAACTACCGTGTAGCAACGATTACCATTAAAAATAACAATTAATGTATTGTTGGTATTTAATGACAGAGTTTTTTTGACATTCAAACCGTAACATGGCGATTAATATTAAATGATAACGACAAGTGCAGTTCTTCGCTTGTATATTAATTTATGTAACGTCATTAATTCTTATGTTTCTCGAAGCAAAGTGTATTGGTTTTGACAGCAGCACGTTAATCCTTCGGCCTTTGTATGTACACGCGCGTTAAAATATTAT